TTGAAAACCCGGAAGGGTGGCCTTGGCAAAAGTTAGAGTGTAAAAGGAGAGGTTAATACCCGAGTATACCTTAACCTCGAACTACGTAAGGCTTGATTCCCATCGGTGGGATACGTAGGCAATTTCATTCTGAAGTCTAGACGTAAACACTTCAAATTCAACTGTCCTGTCTATGAGATTGAACAGGTCATCTCTGTCTTCGCTGTATCTGAGTGTTCGGTGGTGATTGTCAATATGAGAACTAGCCATACAGTGTGTTGCGGTGCTATTCAAACAAGGGGCAACTTTCCGTTGCCATGTAGTGCCATTTAGACAAGGAGCAATTTTCCATTGTTTTGGATCTGAGGTTGTGCATCTCAAGAGTAAATTCTATGTTGGTCGAGCAGTGGCCATTGATAAAAGTAGTTTTTGAGAATTTTTGCTGAGGTTGATTAATTCTCTCAAAAATTATTCTATCTTTTCCAAAACTGGACCATTTCTTGGACCCAAAAAAGAAAAATTTTCAGTGCTCACAACCTGACTTGCATGATTTCAAATCAGAAAATTGAACAAGCATGTTAATCTAACTCTCATGCTGGTCAAAATTGTTTTAGTAGAAAGTCAAAATAAAAAAATGGTCAAAATTATGAACTAGGGGCACAGTTGAGCCAGGTTTTCTGTTTGTTCCCCATTATCAATGCATTTGCCAGAAAGGGCACCATTTTCGCCAGAAAGGGCACAGCTGAAGCTGTCAGCAAAGGGCCGAAAGCTCTCTCATCCTCCAAGCAGCGAGGTATCAAGCCAAGTACGAAGCATGAATTGAAAATAGAGCAGGGTATTCCATTCCCTCATCGGGAAAGGTCTGGTCCCCCCGAACTAGCCAAGGGCGTCATCAACTGATATTAGCTGCAGATTTGCTACACACCCAATTGTAGCGCACCCCCCTCTGTGGGAGAAGCTCACTGTTGTGAGCAGAAGAAGGAGAATCTAGTAGAATACTAGGGTCAAGAGCCCACGCCTTCCTGTTTATCCATTAAACACTGATGGGAGCGATTAAAAAAGAAGAGAGATTGAAGAATAGAGAGATGCCCGTTGAGAGAAAAAGTGGGAAAAGGGCTTTTTCAGAAAAAAAGAGACTGAGTGTCAGAGTGATGTGAGAATCACAAATGAGAAAAGGGTGGGAAACAATACCCGAAGAAACAGGCTGCTCGTGAACTGAGAGGTCTCCCACTGGTGGTACACATCCGAGTGTTGTGTGTTTGTTTTTGTTTCTCTCGATTTGTGTTTTGAGTCGTTTCGAGTGTCAATAGATGAGTTTAGGTTGTTTACCTTGTCTTTCCTCTTTGTTGAGTCGTTTTGGCTATGGTCAGACGTAGGCTCAATACCCGGTTTAGAGCTCATTTCTTGATTTCATTTGAAAAACAAATTGTTTTGTGCTTAGAGTGCTGTGCCATTCTCCACATTTGTACGAAACAAGATTCTTTCTTTCATAAACTGCAGGGTTCAACCCAGGTCATGTGAGAACAGTAAAACCAGGACCTATCTGAAGCTATATGGGTTCCAGACTGCAAAGCAAAAGAAAAGATGGAAAATTTGGAGCATCTTAGTATGTTTCAACTCCAGCAAATTCCGAGATTACATCTAAGGTGCACCTTCTTAGGTATCGCCATTTCTTTGGAGTATGAGTGTATCTCGACCCCAAACTTAAGCTTGCTTCAAGTCAGAATGGCAGTCCAAGCAGCATCCGTGGTTTTCACATGCAAATGTTACCCCTCGCCAGTATGAACATGGTGTACCCTTTTCGAGCTGAGTGTGTTGCAAAGCCCTCCGAGAGATAAATCGGAGGCACCAGAGTACGTGTTTGATGCCCCTCTATTGCATAGAATGTGCACTTTCATATACACTTGTGTTGCATGCGTGCCTCGCATCGTTATGATTCATTCATAGAATATGCCTGCTTTCGATTCCGTATAGAATATGCTTTGCTTTCAATCATGCATAGAATATGCTTTCAATGTTGCATAGAATATGCTTTCAATATTGCATAAAATATGCTTTCCATGTTGCACAGAAAATGCACTCTTCCATACGTGCATAGAAAATGCTCATATCTTTTGCATAGAAAATGCACTCTTCCATACTTGCATAGAACATGCATTTCATTGCACTTTTTTGTGCACCTTACTTGCATAGAACATGCATTTTATCGCACTTTTTTTGTGCACCTTACTTGCATAGAAGATGCATTTTATCGCACTTCTTTTGTGCGCCTTCCTCGCATTGTTTTGTGCACTTACACTTCGTATCTCACTCGCACTGTCTTGTGCATCTTGTGGTTGTGTATCACTCGAACTATCTTGTGCATTACATTACACTCGCGCTGTTTAGCGTATCGCACTGTTTAGTGCATCTCAAATCACTCGTGCTGTTTAGCGCATAGCACTGTCTAGTGCATTTTAAATCGCTCGCGCTTTCTTGCGCATCGCACTATTTTGTGCAGTTTACAGTCGCGCTTTCTTGCGCATCGCACTATCCTATGCATTTCATTAAATACTCTTATCTTGCATAGAAAATGCTTGTATCTTTTGCATTGAACTTGTTCGAGCTTTCTTGTGCACCTACATCGCACTGTTTTGTGCATCTTCTTAGCATTGTTTTGTGCATTCACTCTGCATCGCACTATCTTGTGCACAATGTATTTTTGTATCACTAGCACTGTCTTGTGCACTCGCGCTTTCTTGCGCATCGCACTATCTTGTGCACTCCTCTTGTCTAGGAGACCTTAAATCCTTTGGTATAGGAGACCTTAAACCCTACATCTCTACTTTGCACTGTCTTGTGCACTCTCTGGTCTATGAGACCTTAAATCCTCTAAAGGTGCAATTCCTTTGGTGTTTGTCGTGCTTGAACGACTTTCAATGGTCTGGTATAGCCACCTGCCTGTGTTAGTAGTGAGTTCCTAGGAGATCAATTGAGACGGTGGAAACTAGAGTTCGAATGGCTCATGCCTAGAACGCAAAGGTTCAGGATTTCCGAGATTGAAGTCTAGTTTAAATACCCAGGGGTGTATCCTCGGCTTGAAATCTGTATGGAAGCCCCATAGGTCGAGATAGCATGTGTATGTGCCTCAATTCTGTATACTGAACCAACCTAGTATGTCACCCTGTTGGAGAATAGAGAAAGCTACGACCATAGCCAGGGAGAAAAGTAGTACCTGTGGTTCAACCAAGAAGAAGCGAAGGATCCCCAGCAGCATGAGGTGAGTCATTGCCAATTTCCCCTGTAAAGTACTTTCACTTCCCAGCTACATTGCATTTTAGCTATTACATTGCATTGTACATAGCATCTATCTCATGCATCTACTGCATTATCCATTTTATCGCATGCATCATTTCCATGTTAAGCTTAGTCCGGCATGTGCCCATACTTTTCGCATTAAAACATGGTTCTGTGATTATGTGTACGCGCCTATTCCACTAAGAGAATTGTGGTCTGAGGGTGTCGGCACCTTTTCTGTGTTAGACGTGGCCTGTTTTGTGTCTATGCCTTTTCTAGGCAAAATGTGGTTTGGCCGTGTGCCTTATTCAGTTCATCCATTGCATCCATTGCATCGTAGTTTGTTGTATCCGGCATTTAGGATCACGATCTTTCCTCAGCAGATCATTCCTCACTTATATCATGCCACCCAATTACTTGTATTCTTTCTGCGAAACACATTGTTCTGTCTGTGCATGCACCTATTCCAATAAGAGAATTGTGGTTAGAACGCCCTGGCACCTTTTCTATGTT